TCCTTTTAATTTTTTAAACTTAATAAATAATAATAACTTAAAAAAATAGCTTACCACAACTTTTATTCGTCGAGATCACAGTTAACACGTTTGCTTTTCAGTAAAACTGAATATTCAATAAATATTGTTTAATATACAACTAATACTATACATCGGTATTCACCGTCATTGATTTATCTAAACGTTACGATAAGATTAATAGTTACAGATCGACGTGCGCGCGCGCCGGCGCCTGCTCTACCAACTGTCTCTCACTCTCGCCTTGAGGATGAGGTGTGACAACAACCATCGCTTTTATACTGCACCATATTATGATAACAACACGAAATTATAGGCAGGACCCGAAATAACAGATTTTTTTTATCGCGACACGGCACGAGCGCGGCGCATTAACCTTAAATTTAAATTTTTGATAAAATTTCACCGCCCCTTCTTTATGTTTATTGAATTTTTGATAAAATTTCACCGCCCCTTCTTTATGTTTATTGATGTCTCTAATTTTAAATTACTTTTTTTAATCATCCAAATTATCGTGTCGCTATATGCTGTGTTCTTAATTTTTTTAGAGATTAGATAACTCAAAATATATGATAGAAACATTGCGATTTTAGCTAATGAAAAATGTCAAAGAAAGAGTCGAATGCTAACTGCAATCTTTCGACGGGTTTAGCTAAGTTTTTTTTTTTGTTAATTGATCGTTTATATTATAATTCGTTCATAATTTGAACGTTAAGTAATTCCATAAACGCTATACATTTTTATTATATGTAATCGGGTCTTGTTCGTGCATTTTTTAAAACAAATAATTTACCTCGACGTTTCGGCTACGTTACAGCAGCCGTGGTCACGAGGAGACTGGAGAACTGGCGGGTGTCGTCTTCTGAATTTAGTTGAGGCGTGAGGGTAATCCGGTAATAATGTTTTTAACAGATTTTCAGATGTACCCTCCACTTGATTTTATTGTACGTAATCAAGTGGTAATCAAGTAAATAAATCAAGTAAAGGTAATCAAGTGGAGGGTACATCTGAAAATCTGTTAAAAACATTATTACCGGATTACCCTCACGCCTCAACTAAATTCAGAAGACGACACCCGCCAGTTCTCCAGTCTCCTCGTGACCACGGCTGCTGTAACGTAGCCGAAACGTCGAGGTAAATTATTTGTTTTAAAAAATGCACGAACAAGACCCGATTACATATAATAATAATGTATACAAATCGCTATACATTTATAAGATAATTGTGCCTTAACGCGTGAGTGCGATTCACTATTTGCCAGTTTGTTTATTATTATTGGGTTTTCAACCATACAGCCTAGTAATTATTTATATACCTATATTTATTGTCATCATTCAAGTTCAAATGCATAGGTACATCAATTTATTGTTGAAATTTTTATTGAAACAACTGTACATTATGATGCCTTTTTATAGTTTAACTATTTCGTCATAGTATTAAGTGGCAGTTATATTTAGTCCATGCCGCGTGGCGCCACGGTCGGGTAAAGCCACTTTGTGTCTATGGCAAGGAGAATAGGATAGTTGACTACTTTTTTAAATAAAACATCTTTTAAACGGTTCCATCGCGTTTGTATTTAGTTTTATTGACGTTTCGGACCCTTTACAGGTTCCGTGTTCACATAAGACTACGGTTAATTGTCTTTTTAGTTAAGGGTATAGCTACCTTCAAAACAATACTATTGGATACATTCACATTTCAAAAAAATATATATTTCATAGCATCATTTACATTTATTAAACTTACGGTCAGTTGCACAAACCTCCATTAAGGTTTAATGATGCCTATAAGCTCTAATGAATGTCAAATTTGTATAGGTAATGTCGCTTTAAACTAATGCAATTTTTAATGGACGTTTGTGCAACTGGCTGTAAATCATTTTAAAAAAAACATTTGAATTATTTATTTACCAGTTCCAAATTTAAAAGTCTTGTCTAAGCGAAACTGGCGTAACAAACTTCGACAACAAAAGTGAATTGCTCCCTTTGATTTAATATTTACAGAATGAACTAACTGTACGTTTTGGTTTTACAATCTGGATTGAGTTTTTTTTTTATTTGACTAATTAGCGGATTTCTAGCGGGTATATGCCAACCTTCATCTTTATTATACCTACTTTTAATTTTAAAAAGACAATCAACACCTTAGTCTCTGTCAAGGGTTTGAAACATCAATAAAACTAAATACAAACGTTGAAATGTAACCGTTTAAAAGTTGTTTCATTTATGGATAGTGCGCGTGAAAATATAAGAAATAAATACTTTTTTAAATTTATAAACAAATAGTCTATTAATATCTGAGAAATAATGCAGAATAACAGCATGTCTGCGATTAATAGTTATGGAGATACAATAGGTACTTTGTTTATGAAACGCTCCCTACCAATTCAGGTAAAGAAATAACGTCAAAATAAAATTCTTACTTAAATCACGCGTTAGAAGGATATCACAAAGGTAGTAAATAGGTTGAAGTACAGAGTTTCAATTACCAGAGTTACCTTTGTGAGAGACTGGAGTCTGCGAAGGAACCGATTATGGCCTGAAGTGCAGATCACCAGGCCCCCACATAAAAAAGAAAAAATAAACCTATATGTAGTTATAAGAAAATATTACTTAATTATTACAATTTGAGCGCGCATGCGAGTGAGTGAGTGTATGTGTGTGTGTGTGTGTGTGTGTGGGTGTGTGTTTGTGTGTGTGTGTGTGTGTGTGTGTGTGTTTGTGTGTGTGTGTGTGTGTGTGTGTGTGTGTGTGTGTGTGTGTGAGTGTGTGTGTGTGTGTGTGTGTGTGTGTGTGCGTGCGTGTGCGTGTGTGTATGTCTGTGCTTGATAAACCCAATACATATAAAAAAATAATCGTAATCATGAGACTACAAGTAGCAGATTCTCTGTGGCATCGTAATCAAGTTGTTGTAGCCAGTTCTGAATTGACAATTTAGCTTTTCTTTTGTTATGCTTATAGATAGATAAATGTTTATTTATATTGTTATATAAATAACTTCCTAGAAAAATAGAGAATCTATGAGAAAATTTAGTGTTAGTCTGTGTACATACACAAACAGCATGAGTTCGTCTTCTATTAGCTAAGAGACTTGGATTGTACTCTATCTGCCCGTGTTTCCTAAGAACTGTGCTCATAACGAAGAGTTGTCGGACTGTCATTACGTTACATCGCTTATAAAGGTCATTGGTGGGATGTTGAAAATCTAGACAGAAACCAACCTTAAGTACAGCTCTCTGAGCTCTTTCGAGTTTTAAGAGTGTAGATTTTGAAGTACCCCCCCAGTTAGTAATACAATACGTTATTTGTGATTGACATAATGCAAAATAAATTAATCTAATTATGTGCTTATCGGTAACATGACGGAGAATTTTGAATATAAACATTAGTTTTCTAATTCTGGCGGTAATGAGATCTATGTGGTTATGAAAGCTTAATGTATTATCTATTACTACTCCCAAATACTTAATGGAATTTACTTTTTCTAATATTGGACACAAACAGTTGAAGTTTGAAGAATTATCACAACTATGAACTTTAATTGAATTATCTAAATACTGGGGCAAGGAAGATTTTTTTATTGCAAAAGGAATAAATTTAGATTTATCTATGTTTAGAGATAGTCTATTAGTACTTAACCAATCAAAAACTTTGTCAAATCCAAGCTGAGCCCACTGAAAGACCTCACTCCACGATTCACCAGCAAATAGAAGTGCCGTATCGTCTGCGAAAGAAACAATCTTACCATGTGAGAGCTCCAGATCAAACAAATCGTTTATATATGCTAAAAAAAGGGTAGGACCGATTATGCTGCCTTGAGGAACTCCATGGGTTATTTGTTGGTAATCACTGCAATATTCACCTATTTTTACTTGTTGGACTCGATTGGTAAGATAATCAACCAGCAATTTTTGTTGCATTTGACGTATTCCTAGAGCTTCCAGCTTTTTTATCAAGAGAGGGACAGAAACTGTATCGAAAGCTTTAGCTAGGTCTAGAAATATTACAATCACTTTTTTGTTATGATCAAGGTTATCCACTATAAAATCTGTTAATGCATGTACAGCTTCATTAGTAGATAATTGAGAACGGAACCCGTATTGACAAGGAGATAACAATCTGTTAGTTTCAAAATATTTAACAAGTCTTTTATTTATTACTTTTTCAAATATTTTAGAAATTGTAGGTAAAATTGATATTGGTCTGTAGTTATTGACACAGCTTCTGTCACCACTCTTGTATATAGGATGAACTATAGCTTTTTTGAAATCGTTGGGAAACATCCCCGTTGACATAGAAAGGTTACATAAGTGTGTCAATATGGGGACTAGAATATCTCTGTAACGTTTTAAGAATGCTGATTGTATATTACCATACCCGCTGGCACAATTGTCTTTTAAGTTTTTAATGATACTATCGATTTCACTATTATCAGTAGGTAGAAGAACAAAAGAGTGGGGATATGTTTTTAAAAGGGTACTATTGAAGGATTTTGAAGAATTTATTTTTTCTGCTAATTTACTACCAATATGTACAAAAAAAGAGTTTATGTTATTGATTTCTATATTTGGTTCATTAGAGATTAAATCTATTGGAACTTTTTTAGATTTGTTCAAGTTAGATATATTTTTTACTGTTTCCCAGACTTTTTTGTTACTTCTTTTGGCGGCTAAGAGTAATTGGGATCTTTCGTATTGTCTCCTAAGGTTTTTCAAAAGTTGATTGCAAAAGTGACGGTATCTTTTGTACGTTATTTTTATTATTTCGTTATTAGGGTTTCTTTTGGATTTTTTATTTAATTGATCACGATTTTTAATACATTTAAGAAGTCCTGGAGTAATCCATGGTTTAAGTATGCGTTTCCGATTAGGTGTTTTAATACACGAAGTGTTTTTTGCAATTAATGTATTAAGTGAAGATAAGAGAAACGAGGTGGCGACATTAACGTCTTTTATAGAATATATAGTATTTAGATCTAGCTTTGAAATCTCGCCGTCAATTCTTTCGTAGTTGATTTTTTTAATAGTCGGAGCGGGTAGTGTTTTAGGATAAATGTTCTTATCAATTATTAAAATTAATGTATCGTGGTCGGTCAAAGAAGTTTCAGATACATAACAGTGAGCCTTAAGTCTGGTTTTCAAAATAATGTGATCTAGACAAGTTTTATTATGTGTAGGTATGGTATGTCCTGGTAACATGCCATGTATTGCCAACAAATCTAAATAAGTGGATGAGTTCGAGTCAGTGTTGTTTGGTTTAATGTCGATGTTTATATCACCGATAGTTATTATATTCCTATAATTTTTATATTTGCTCAGTAACATGTCGAATGAATTGAAAAAATTGGTTAAATTCCTATATCCGTAAGGTCTATAAATAGCTATTAAAATTGTATCATTGTTGACATGCAATATAAGACAATTTGCATCGTTCAATATAGGTTCCTCCACTCTAAAATTATACACATTTTTATAGTAAATAACTACACCCTCATTTTGTGTATAATTTTTAACTGTAGTCTCACAACAGTACCCCTCAATGGAAGGAATAAAATGTGAAGACGGAAGCCAACATTCGGTTAAAATAAATATATCCCAATCTATTTTTGTTCTTCTTATAATTGTATGTAATTCCGGCATATTCTTTGTTATACTTCTTATATTTTGATGCAAAATTTTGAAAGACATGTGGGTGTTCGATATTAATTGTTTACAATTGTCAATATCACAGATGGATGAGGTAGCAATGGAAAAGTCGTCTAATTCAGAATTTATGATGTCAGAAACCGCGCCTTTTGGTTATAATAAATATTAAATCTACAAGTCATTCACTACATAAATATTAAATCTACAACAAAATCATTAATGAGGTTCAAAACATAAAGTTGTTGTTTGTAAACAGGGTAGTAAAACATACGTCTACAAATACTATAGACGTTGATAAAATTGAGTTTATACCTGTTCCATTCACTTCCATTATAATAAAATAGTTTAAAAATGTAAAAGAATTTTGCATTAGGCCACGAAAAGGAAACACATAAATAAAGTCTTTTCCTATTCCGATATTTAATAGCAAATAATAATGTGGGTACATTCAACAGCACTATCATGATCACAACAAATTGATGGTTATATATATCAATGTAATTTAATTCACTGTGTAACTTTTTTATTTTATATATTACTGAAATAATGCATTGGGGAATATCAAATGTATTATGTGTGTAAATTGGGTGTATAAGATGTGCATGTGTAAAAGAAAGTTTGTTTAAGGTTAATAAAATTATTTGAGCAAAATCGTTTTCATGGTAACAAGGACACAACGGAAACAACAGAAAGCAAAACATGGCTAGTCATTTAAATAATTTTTCGAGATCTTCCTCATGTTTTATGCGGATTGGAGGCATATCTTCTTTTATCTTTAAGTAGACTTTCCCATACGACGTCCAGCAACCAACGCAACCATGTTTCCTTGCGAATTCTCTTGATAAAAAGTATAGTCGCCTATTTTTAGACGATAAAGAATCTGTTAGATAAATAGGCCTTGGAGGCCCATCAATTAATAAGTTGCTTGAATTCAGCTTATGTTCCTTGTTGCATTTATTATAGGATATGGCGGATCTTATCATATTTTCTTTGGTGCAGACGTTTATAAATTCGACAATTATAGGACTTATTTTCTGTGATTGCGATTTCACTCTATAAATGTCACGTATTTGGTTCACTTGGACAGGTTGGTTAATCACTTCACTTAGTTTACAAACGATTGCACTTAAAGTAGTCTTATTTTCAGTTTTGAGCAAAGGGAGGTTTCTCAACTCCATAGTAGCCGTCCTGCTTGAACATTCCAGTAAATCAATCTTATTTTCCAACATATGAATACGAGTTTTATAATCCTTGTTTTCTTGTTGAACTTTGTCTAATTTAACCAACACGTCGTCGTATTTGGCCGACATAAACTCAAGAGATTTTTGAATTTCGGAATATTGTTGTCCAATAGACAAAATATCATTTTGAAATGATGAGAATTTTTCATTTTGCTGTAATTTTAGATCCATTAACATTTCCTTAAGCTCGGTCAACGATGTATCGCCATGTTTGCGTTTATTTCTACGTGAATAATATTGTGAATTTTCTGTATCTTTATCGGATAGTAATATATCAGAGGCAGTATCCGAGTATTGATCCACATTAGACATGTTGTCATGAATCTTCTTCATGGCCTTAGGTGGAGTCCGCTTCATTGACATGTCCAAATTAATTATGTAATTTATGGATATAAATAAAATGTGATTAAAAACTTGGGCTAAACAAATACGTAATGCCTACGTGTGTCCGCTGTGTGGAGGAAACCGGTATGTTGCAATTGGTCAGAGCACGTGACGTTGTGCCAAATGAAAGAGAACGCAATATGATGAGGCGCTATCTGTTTCTTAAAAATACGTACTCACACGCTTATCAATCACAGACCGCAATGATTGTACTGTTGTGATCCTTGTTCAGTACACCACGTCCTTGTCACACGTACTCGGTTATGATCGCCTGGTGTATAACCGTCTTTTTAGCCTTCTTTTACACTTCGCAAGTCTAATAAAACAACCAAGTACTAAGTTGTTTTGTTATTTATAATAAAATGTTTAGTTACTTTTAAACTAAAATGTTAAATATGTATGATAATGTCAATTTTTTGGGATACGCCATAATATGTACGAGTATATACACTGTAGAAAAAACTCACTTCGTGATTTTGAATTTTGGTAAATCTTGCTTTATTGCGATTAAGTATTATTCTAGTATATAAGGGCATTTAAATAATTTATTTTTAACAATTCAATTATAATCTGTCAACGTCGCCGTCTCCAAATATTTTATTCGGTAACTTATTATAGAATGTATTATCATAGGTACGTTACGTAGGTACGTATTGTAAGTAAATACTAAACGCTGTTTACCGAACGGTTATAATTTTCAGAAACCAGGGGGCCAATTCTACTAAGTAAATTTTGTTCAAATCGAATCGAAAACGGATCGAATCCGAACGAAACTACAGTTTGTAATGGTTTTCCTATTCTACAAAGTGACATACGATACAATTCCAGTTCTATTTTAGCTGGAATTGTATCGTATGTCACTTAGTAGAAATATTTCGAAAATTTATTTAGTAGAATTGGCCCCCAGAGCGTTATATAGGTACGTAATATTGTGGCGTAAATAATTTATTATTTAAGTATTATTTGAATAAGCATTAAAAAAACATTTTCAGCCTACCGGGTACTTTATCTGTGGCTCTATCACATAATTAAAACCTTAATTGATATATCTACATAAAGCTCAAAATGATAGATAGATAGATAAACACTTTATTGCACACTTACTAATAACAAATCACAGAAAAAATTATGGTTAAATGATCTTCCAGACTGACCACCCATTCATTGTAGAAACTGAAATTCAGACCAAATTCAGTTTCATTTTTAGAACATGAATAAATGCAGTAATTATCTTATTTCTATCACTATCACGTGGAACGAATGATGCTTTTAATTATATATAATGAAACGTAATAAAAGCTTAGCTATACCCATCAAATGATAGCATTGAACATTCAACTCTTCCGACTAACATTTCTTAATAGCTTTTAAAGCTATTTGCGTCTTACACTTGCCTACACCATTCCAAGTGACGTCAAATTAACGATATCACGTGAATATCTTTCAAATGTCAAATTGAAAGGGATTGCAATAGATTTTAAAATTAGCCAATTAGCTCCCAGGAGTTCAGGTATCCGATAGAACCGCCGATGGGTACCGACCGCACTGAAACAACTAGAGTTTTAGCGATAGAAAGAGAACGTTTTCTTTTTAAAAATGAAATATGTTTATTATATTCTTTTATAATAATATACTGTTAATTGATTTAGCTTGTCTATACTATAATATAAAGAGGAAAGATTTCATTGTTTGTTTGTTTGCCCCGAATAGGCTCCAAAGCTACTTGACTGATTTTAAAAATACCTGATAATACCACAACACCATTAACGGATTTACTTAGTACTATCACCATTTTTTTTTCGCGACAGCAAAATATATAGATGCAGATTTTGGTGCAATAATCTATTATATTTTCGACGTGCTTTTTTTACTTGGATCGGAACTATGACAAAAAGTGTAGATATTTTGAAGCTGCACTCTGTTGCCGTCACTGCTCTTGTGTTGGGCAGATATATTCCTTTTTATGCCGGTTTCGAAAACTAAAACTTTATTCTTATCAAAATACAAATAAGAATATATTTTTTACAGATTCATTTATAGATTTATAACAATTTGCTGTTAATAGATTTTTTTCTATTTACAAAAGTTCGGTTAAATATTTTTTGTGACAGGAAAGTCTTCCGAAAATTAATTAAGAAGAACTTCGACCAACACGGGGCAGTCCCTTATGTACATATGTATACACATGTTTATAAGTAAAGGTTTTTTCACTATAAGGCTTTTATCCTTCCGATAAGGAAATAGTTATATTTAAATAAAAATATTGTTCACTTAGATTTCCGTATCAAGCAATAATTTATAATATATATTTCGACAACACTTATCAAATAATGATAGCGTTTCTGTAATATAATGTCACAACATTAGAGGTCCAATCAAACAAAATCTTCAATGCTGTGACAGCGCCGTGCTTGACTCTCAATAAGGTCATCAACAATTGTTTTAATAATACCACTTTGAATTAATATAACTTATGAAAAACTAGTTTTCACTATAATAAATAAATTACGAGCTACTCTTCGGTTAATACATAATATTTTTCTGTCGCTTTCGCGATTCAAAAGTCAAAAGATCCAAAAACATCGACGATAGTTTTATTTGTAGTCCAAATTGTGCAATATATTCCACATCAAATATTGTTTTTTAAGCACAGGTAAAGTATGTTTCTTTACAGTTACCAACCCACCTTCCAACAGAATTAACCTAGCTTGTTGTAAGCCAAATTAGGAAACCAAGTTCGGCTTTGTTGGAACACTGGCTTACAACCGTGTGGAACACACTTTAGTGTTTCTTGATACCACAGGTCATACCTAGTTAGCTGTTTAGATTTTATAGCTCGTCTATAAATGTACGCCTTACTTAACATTTTATGATTGAGGTAAAATAGAAAATCGGAAAGTCCTATGGATCTGTTGCATAAGACATGTAATACAACACAACTGGATTCACAATGATACCGGTAGGTATATTGAATTGAGGAATATTTTCCTTATACCTATTCTCCTTCGTGTGTCCTCTACGACCTCCGTAGCCGAATGACTTGCAGATTTAATTTGCACGTCGGTAGCCACCTCTAAGGTCCCAGTTCCGATTTCCGGTCGGGTTAATGTAGAAAACAGACTTCTCTATATTGTGATAGGGATTGAGAGTGGTATATATGTCAGAAACTCTATAATACTAGGGCAACAGACTCAAGGCGGTCCCATTAAAAATACTTCCCGCACGCTTCACATTGACCTACGAAAATGAGCCATATGATTTGTAAGGAAGGTGTCTTCACACTCTTGAAGTAATTATTAGTGTGATCATATTGGTTAAAACAAAGCCAATAACTATTGATAAACGATATTTTGTTTTTTTTTTTAATTTTGAGTGCTAGGCGTTTAATAGGATGGATGCAAATCAATTACATGTGGCTTAAATGCGTATGCTAAGATGTGGGAAAAACGAGATGGACAAAATAAAGAATGAGTAGAGAAGGTTTCTAAGTAGCGCCAGTGACATAATAATTGAGAAACGACTTTTGGGGATTTAGTTTAGATTATTTTGATATGGACTTGTCATGAAAATAGATCATTTACATCTAACAAAAGGATTATGAGCACAATCATGCTATTGGTCATCTATTCTCATGGCAATAGCACTTTCTTGAATAAGTCGCTTTTGAGATAACTTATCTTTTTAAAGTTTGAAGTCGGTTCTACTTTTTATAAAAAGATTTTATTTCATGTTTTTTAGTAATATTGATATATTTTATATAATAGCTAACACTTAAAATATATTATTTTATAAAAGACAGTGTACAATAATTATAGTATGTCAGATATACTTTTATAATTAATTTACATTGTAACCAATTCATTCATTTATTATAATTATTATTTCTTAAGCATATTATTGGTTTAAAAGATTTGGTACAGTTCTTATGACACATTACTTCACGGAGTGGCTATGGAAAATACGTAGGTTCTAGAATTTACGGTTTTATGTTCACACATAATAAATGTCAGATTAACAGAGACCCTGGCCCGTTTTCAGTATTGTATATTTTAACTGCATGGCATACGAAATGGTGATGATAAGATTGTCTGTGACAGTTACAGTTAAGGAGGAGACAAACTATTTTTGTACATTTCCCATCAAATATCGCGCTTTAACTACTTTTACATATATATTGAAAAATATATAAGCTAGAATAATAATTAAAAAATTTACAATTAACAATTTTTAAATAAAAAAAATAATCAAAATCAGTTATTGGGTGAAGCACTTATGCCATCGGTTCATAAAGCTTCTTTAAGGTAAAATCTGATAATAATTACTCAACGTATTCAAACGAAATTATAATACGTAATATATAGTTCTATATACAAGAAGTTATTATTTTAAAGTCATGCCGTTTTATGGCTATGTATAATGTTGCAGATGGTGTGGGAAACACGTTAAGTACCTATATCCTACACTGAAGGTAACTACGGTTTACCATCGGCTTAACTTAACCATAGCTGCTCTGTCAAGGGCAAAATTTTAGTTTCAAGAAAAATTAACGCGGTCATATAATATTGCGTTCAGTTAAATCCCCCTCATTAAAGTCAAATTAGTAATAAGCAGTAATAAGGATGTCTTAAATTCTTATAATTATAGAAAGCAAATCTGTCTTTTTACTTACGTATTAGATAAGCTTATTAAAAATTATGAAATTAGATCAAGATACTCTTCCTGCCGCACAATGGATAGAGAGTGAAGAGATAGGTATAAATAAATACCTAATTTAGTTTGTTTTTTTACCACCTAACGCTTAACCTTCTCTGTTTTCCATAATGCGGGACATTATTGCGGAAATTCTGTGAATACGTAGAAGCAGAAAAGAATTAGTTTAGTATTAACGCAAACAATACATAAAATACATAGTGTAGGCACCAGTACTACCACTTTTCCTCTACCAACTTCAAGGTTGCGAACGGGTACACTTTACATATGGTCTATGTAATTCTATAATTGTCCTCATTAGGTAACTGATAGACACAAAAACCTTCTTCATCCTCACTCCGATAATTGATGTTAGCCGAATGAAATTCTTGTCGGTAATTTTGTGCTTATCAAGTTAAGCTTATTAGCAAAGTGCGGGTAGAGTTGAATTTTCGCCAAAAAAAAAAGCTGTTTTGTTTTTTTTTAATTACTATCATTTTGTCATAGAATGTCACGTTTTCTGACAATGACAAACAGACAACATTTTAGTTGCAGACCTGTGATTCAATAAGATAAATAAAAAAACATAATAAACAAACATCACGTGCATTGTTCAGATTCCAAGATGAGTGATAAAACCCCCCATGAAAAAATAAATGATTATGGAAAATCTGATACAACGAAGGTACCACAGCACCCAGACCTGAGACGATAAAGAAAATTCTTTTCTACATTGACCCGATCGGGGATCGAACCCGAGACTTCAGACGATAGCGACACCTTGAATCCTGCGTACGACTCGACTAAGGAGGTCGTCGTAATTTATTTCTGGAGATGTATCTGGGATGGAATAAAACTGATTTTATGCAACTTCAACTGCTTTCGTAGTAAGT